ACTTGGGAGCAGTCAGTTTATTGAGGAGAAGGGAGTGCCTCAGAAAGTTGCTTAGAAGGAGGCAGGAAGAGATCACAGACATTTTCTTTATGCATCACTAACTGTTTTGCATGTTATATGCTTTACTTTAGTTATTTAAAAATATCTATTAAAGAAAAAGATTTAAAAAAATTTTTTTAACTACCTGTGAGACAATATTACGAATGTTCCACCAACATCTCAGTCACCTCTAGAACCCAGCCAGCATTATCCAAACACATTCTCCTTTCCCTCCCTATTCCCCCTCTTTTTTCTGGTTGCTTTTGGTTTTCTTTTTTATGATACTACAGTTTTCCAGCCAAAAATGCCAGCTATATTTCACTTCTCCTGATTACCTGTACCTGACAATTCATGTCAGTTTCTTCTTGGTGTGTCATATCAGTTCTTTCATTTTTCCTGCCCTATACTCTACCCAATCTTAGGTCCCAAACTGTCCTATCTGCCTCACCATATGTCAGCAACCACTGTCCCTTCTCTCCCCAAGGTACATGACATTCACATTTGACTATATTCCCTGTTTCTCTAAAGTATATCACATCTCTCCTTGTAAATTATAAACTGCTTGAGAGGACTTATGTTTTATAGCACATCTTTGAATCTGCCAAAGGACCTAAACACATTGTTTTGAAGATAATAAAACATAAACTTATAAATATCCAGATTTCTCTCAGTTTATGACATTAATGATGTAAAAAGTCAAATTATGTGAGGGCCATTTAAAAATACTTATTTGAAATGCTGGAGAAGGTGTGGAGAAAAGGGAATCCTCCTACACCGTTTGGTGGGAATGTAATTTGGTGCAGCCATTATGGAAAACAGTATGGAGATTCCTTAAAAAACTAAAAATAGACTTACCATATGATCCAGCCATCCACTCCGGGGCATATATCTGGAGGAAACTCTAATTCAAAAAGATACATGCACCCATTGTTGATAGAAGCACTATTTATAACAGTCAAGATATGGAAGCAACCTAAGTGTCTATCAACAGATGACTGGATAAAGAGGTTGTAGTGTGTGTGTGTGTGTGTGTGTGTGGCGTGTGTGTAAAATGGAATACTACACAGTCATAAAAAAGAATAAAGTAATGCCATTTGTAGCAACATGTATGGACCTGGAGAATCTCATTCTAAGTGAAGTAAGCCAGAAAGAGAAAGAAAGAAAAATACCATGTGATACCATGTATATGTGGAACCAAAAAAAAACAAAAAACAAAACCACAAGTGAACTTACTTACAAAATAGAAACAGACTCACAGACATAGAAAACAAACTCATGGTTACCAGTAGGGGAAGAGAGGGACAAATTGGGAGTTGGGGATTTGCAGATACTAACCACTATATATAAAATAGATAAACAGAGTCCTACTGTGTAGCACAGGAAACTATATTCTATAGCTTGTAATAGCCTGTAATGAAAAAGAATATGAAAAGGAACATACATATATGTGTAACTGAATCACTGTGCTGTACACCAGAAACTAACACAACGTTGTAAACTGACTACACTTCAATTAAAAAAAAACTTACTGTGCATCTGCTGTGCATTACGCAGCATGTCAGGTTCTGGATAGAGGGTGCTAAGCAACAGTAACAGCACAACATGCGTGTTCTCTTGTATCTCGAGAAGAAGACAAAATGAAGAGGTAAATATGTATGTGATTATAAATTAAAGAACTCTTAAGAGAATGAGCAGGATGGTCTGCAATATGGTGACCTGTTTTAAGTGAACAGGCAGGAAAGTCGTCTGTGAGGAGGAGTCCTTTCAGCTGAGATTGAAGAAAGAGAGGAATTGTGGGAAGTCAGAGGTTGTGTGTCCAGGCAGAGGGAACAAGATGGGCAAAGGCCCCAAAGGTGAAAAAACCTTGATGCACTTAAGGACATTAAGGACGGCCAATGTGGTAAAGCAAAGTGATCCTGGAGGAAGTGGCCAATGGTGAGCTGGCAAAATAGTCAGAGGCCAGATCTCAGGGTCCTTGTTGGCCATGTTAAGTGTGGTTTGTACCAGAAGAGCATGGGAGACCATTTAAAGGTTTGCAGCAAGGGAGTCGCATGCACAGTTTGAGAATTTTTTAAATTCCCTTTAGCTTCTATGTAGAAAATTGATAGTGTGGGGCAGGGACAAATAGGGAGACCAGGTCTCAGATTACTGAACAGCCCAGGTGAGATTACCATGCTTGGAAGAAGTTAGTAGCAGGGTAGAGGAAGCTCATGAACAGATGAGTTTGATATATCCTGAAGGTCAAATTAATAGAACTTAAAGATGGATTAGATGTGGGGAATAGAATAATGGAAAAGAATCTGGAAAAAAATGTGTATATGTGCATGAATATATATATATACATGTAAGTGTGCATGTTTATGTATGTATATATATACACACACATATATATATGAATTACTTTGCTGTACACTCGAAACTAACACAGCATTGTAAATTAACTATACTTCAATTAAAAAATAAATGCAAAAATAAACAAAATTTTAAATAGAGGGAAAAAGGATCTGGGGACTAGAGCGAGAGAGAGAGGACTCAAGAATTCTTTTCCAAATTTCTAGTCTGAACAGCTGGACAGAAGGAGTGCTGTTTTGGGGAAAGAAAGAGACTGAATGTAGGAATAGTTTAGATATGGGCCTGGGAGCAAGAACTCAGTGTTATATGTGTTATGTACACGAGGCCCAGGACGCATCCAAGTAGAGACAGAAGGTAGGCAGTAAAACATATGAACCAAGAGCTGAGAGGAGCAGTCCAGGCTGGAGACTCATAGTGGTATTTAGTGGTATTATTTAGCTGGTATTTAAAGATCCAGGAAATGGGTTAGAGCTCTTGAAGTAGCAGAAAGAAAAAAGAAGGAAAGAGGGCTCAGAATGGAGCCCCAGGGCTTTCCGACACTCTTAATGGAGGGAAAGAAGCCAGCAAAGGAAGCTCAGAATGGCCAGATGGAGAGGAGGGAAGAGCTCAGACAAGTTAGTATCATGAGAAGAGAGGCTTTCAAGGAGAAATGCTCACTCTTGATAACAGCTGAGAAATTGGGTGAGCCCACATTAGAATCCTCTCAACTGGGGAGGACTTTTTACAAACGAGAGAAATCACCTGTGTTTTTTCTTTTACTCATATTTGCAGGTCCTAGCACACAGTGGGCACTTCAAACAGATTAATCAAATGACATATTAACTGAATGATTGAATATTTCAGTTCAGTTGAGGGAGCGCAATAGGCACAAGTCATTTAAAACCATCCGTCTCTTCTCCCCACCCCCCACCTGATGCTCACACTTGCCTGCAAAAGCATTGATTAGAGAGAGAGCAGTATCTTCAGGCTCTCTCATAGCAAGTGAAACACCCTTTATTCCTCCTGACTCAGGGAAAGCGAACTGTTCTCTAAACCTGGGAGGAAGGAAACTCAGGGCTAACATAGTGCATGAGATCATAAAGGGTGGCTGTTGCTGAAAACGTAGTGAAATCATGACCATAACCATAACCACCACCACAGAAGTTGGGTCCTGCCCCATCAAGCACTCTGCTGCTCGCTACTCATCTTAATTATGCTGTGAAAGAATTATGTTGAGTGGATTTCATTGTATAATGTTTTGGTGAAAGCAGGGAAAGAAAGAGGTAGTCGTTCAGATCAGGGACCTTTGATATGCCTGCTTCCCAGGACTCCACTGGAAATTTTGTGGCTGCAAACTAGGGGGATTGCTTACATCAGAATGGTGACAGTGTGAGCCAGTTGTAGGATGTAGACCTACCCAGGAAGAAATACGCCCTGAGTGGAAAACTAGAGCAGGACCATTCACCAGGGCTCTGACAGCTACTTTTCTGGAAGCCGTTTCATTCCATGTTTACAAGATTTATCACTCACCATTATTTGCCTTTTACTTTGTTGAAAATAGTAAGAGAGGATGACTATTCCTCTTGTTTTGTCTCTTGACCAAAGAGTAAAAATAATTTAATTGGGCTTGGCTGTGGTATCCTAATATTCCACAAACACCTCAGACTCCAGCTGTCTAAATCTGAGTTCATCGGTGCCCTCCGTCTACACATATGTACACAGGCATAACCTCATTCCTCCAATGGTTTTCTCTGTGAATCTACAACATATTCCCAGATCCCAGACTCGAAACTCGGACATCACCCTGACTCCTTCATCTCAGCTGCACATTTATATTTACCAGTACTCTCACCAAGGTCCGTTGGGTTCTGTCTCTCAGATAGCTCTTGAATCTGTTTTTCCGTCTATCCCTCCTGCTTCTTCCAGGTTCAGGCCACCATCATCTCACTGCTGATTTCTGCAGGTTCCCTGCAAACTTAGGTCTTCTGTCTTCAGTTTTTTCTTTACACTTCTGAAGCCCACAGCTGACCATGACAAGCCTCCGATAGCCTCCTCTTAGCCCCAGCGTAGAGTTAAAAATTCCTAGCCTGGCTTACACTGGGTCCCTGCTTCCCTAGTCAGCCTCAAATCCTACTCTCCTGTGTGTGGGCAGCTAACTGCTCCAGCCAAGGCCACCTCTTCCCCTTCCGGTTTCTGCCTCGCCCTGCTGACCCTGGCTCGCATCCCTCCTCTCAAACTGCTTAGCCTAACTCCACCCTCCTGGTCAACTCTTTAAGTGTCCCTAAAGCATTCAGAACATTCTCTAGTTTGTAAAAGTTTGTCTGTCTACCACTTAGCTGAAATTTTTCCTGAAGGCTTATCCTGCCTTACTCACCATGGCATCCCTAGCCAGGTGCCTGCTCAGTGAATACGCTGAACAAATGAACATGTATTTTAATTGTGTCTGCTTTTACAACTTTAGATGTATCCTTTGGGTATGGTTTTAATGCACACATGTACACACTATTTGATGAATACTTTTTCTTTCTTTTGTTTTTTCATACAGTAATAATTAATAGCTGGACCTGCACCTCCTGCAGATACCCGCCTAATCACCCACGGCTGTCTCTGGGTTGTTCTAGAAAGAAACCTGAGGCACACCTGGATTAATTAGGATGAGACTTAAACCCAGTTCAGGTGTGCTGGGCTTTGGGTTCCCGGAGCATTTTCAGAGGTTCATTATGGTGTCTGTCTCTTGACCTCAACTGGGTCTACAGCCATGATGGCAGGTGTATCCGGTAGCAACTGAGTGGATGCGTGGAGAGCGGGGGCGCCTCGAGACCCGGAAGGAGGAATCCGTTGAAGTGAGGCAAGTCACAGAGCTTCCTCAGCCCGGCTTCGCTCTGGGGGCTCAGCAGCCGCCTGAACCGCCCGCTCCCCCTGCTGTTCAGACCGAGCCACTGCTCCTCAAGCAAGCAGCCTGGACTTGAGAGGAAGTGTGCGGAGGAAGGAAGTGGGCATAGAAGGGTACAGGGCTCTGAGTCTTAAAGTCAGTGTCCTAACATCTTTGTCACCAAAACGTTTCTCAGGCGCCTTCAGGGAGTGCTTTCTGTTTGTTTAATTTGTGACTCCCTGGTTAACTTCTCTAGTGGTTGCTTATGCCCCCAGAATCAGATACAGCGCTTTTAATCAACGAAGGATCAGGACGGTTCCCCCCGCGGTCCCTCCCGGTGTCCGGGTTTGGCCAGCCTTTAGGTCATGCCGGGCAGGCCGGGAGCCTCTGCGCTCATAGTGGGGCGCGCGCGGATTGGGTTGAGGACACGCCGCCACGCTTCTAGGACCCATCCAAGCTTGAAAGGCGAAACCCGGACTCCTTCCTGCTCCACTCTTGTAAAGTCCCGGCAGCCCAGAGACGTCCCAAGCTCCTCCGGGGCTAGGAGACCCCAGCCCGGACGCTCGCCCTGCGCAGCCAAGGTCCCCTAGCGCCCCCTACAGCCACGCGCCCGGGGAGACGGAGCCGGGCCCTGCGCCTCCGTACCACGCCCGGGACCCCACCCAGCGGCCCTCAGCCCAGGACCGCGGGAGCACCGCACCTCGCGGCTGCAGAAACTGGGCGTGCGTCCGGGCGGGCGCGCAGCATCCCCTACTACTTCTGATCGCTCCGCCCGCCGCGGCCCCACTTCCCCTCCCTTCCTCTGTTGCTCCCTCCCTCCTTCCCTCCCGCCTGCCCGCCAGCCGGCGCCGGACAAGCTAAGCCTCTTCTCTTGGGGCGCTCTTCCCTTTGACCGACCGTCGCATCCCGCGCAACTCTGGGACGGACGGTGGCCGTTTGGTCTTGAATGTTCCCCTCCGAGAGCGCATGGCTGAGCAGTCGAGGCGCGGGCCGGGTCCCCGAGGAGCTGCCATCCGGGAGGCGGTGATGCTGCTGTTGTGCTTGGTAGTCCGGACCGGGCGCCCCTACAACGTGGACACAGAGAACGCGCTACTCTACAAGGGTCCCCCCAACACTCTATTTGGCTACTCGGTGGTGCTGCACAGCCACGGGGCAAACCGATGGTGAGTGGGGTCTGGCTCGGGCGCCCTCGGCATTTCAGACGGGCGAGCAAAAGGTGCCTCAGGGATTCCCTGCATGGTTCAAACTTTCCTTCCTCTGGAGGAGGCAGGAGGGGAACGCTGCGACAGCCAGCTCGCTAAGGGTGTGCTCGGGAAACTTACCTTGAGGGTGGCAGCACTGGGGTGCGTTCTGGCACAGGGCCGTGGAGTTCGGGGTGGCGGGTTGGGTGCGCGGGGTGGTGGGCGGAGGAGGCGGGGTGGGGAGCAGCTGCGCTGGCAGCTGCACGTCTGCGGGGACCCGGAGTTCAGTGGGTAGCACAGCTCACGTCTGCGCGCACGTGCACATTTCTCGCTTCAGGCTTGTAGTCGGGGCGCCCACGGCCAACTGGCTCGCCAACGCTTCGGTGGTCAATCCTGGCGCGATTTACAGATGCAAGATCGGAGGGAATCCAGAGCGGACGTGCGAACAGCTCCAGCTGGGTGAGTTGGGTCTGGGACCAGGAGCTAGTGACTCCACACACGTTTGTGGATCCTACAGTAGCACACGTCCTGGAAAAATTCATGTTGCCTTTTACTTCTAGTTTAAAGCAAATGGTTTTCACTCGTAACTCCACATCATCGTCCCTTAACATAAAAGCGGTCTCCTTCTTTCTGTCAGTATTTTTCTCCCTTTTGCTTATGGTCGACCATGATTGCAGTGCTCTGTCAAAACTATATGGAGCAAAGTTTCTTAGAAAACCTTCTCTTCACCTCTCCTCCCACCCACCTCCCCTCCAAGTGTAAAACACATTTTAAAGTCTCTCAGCACATTCAGGACAGGATCCAGCTAAGGCAAGACTGGAGAATTTTATTTCCATCTTTGACCTGTCAGCCTTGTTAAGGAACAGGCTAAGGGGCAAATCAGGAATAGCAGTTGGAATTGATCCCATACCCTGTCATATAGCCTAAGGGCTTTCTAAAAAAGAAAAGGATATCGTTTTACTTAGAATATGAAATGTGAAAGAAGAGCACAAGGAAAAATTGGCATCTTCATTGTTAATATAATTAAAATGGGGCTTAATGTAGAAGTATTTAATTTTCTCTCCAAAAACTGTGATGTTAAGTGGATACCTTTATTTGAAGTCATTTCTTAATGTCTCATCTTAATTTTGTGACAACTTGAAAAAAATGTGTTCTTGTGTGGGAGGGGAGAAAGTTCATGTTTCAAAGCCAAAAGCAAATTTGCTTTGCACAGACACATGGGGGAAGAAAGGGGAACTAATATTAATTCAGACCCTATCTTGTTCCAGACACTGTTAGGAACTGCTATATATGTTGTTTATTTCCCGCAAAGCAGCACTGGGTCATGGTGGGCACTGTTCTTGCTTCGTATGTGAGAACTCTGTGACTCAGAGAGTTGCAAGGACTTTTTCTGAAGTTACTCAGCTAGTGAGTGGAAGATGGGGGTCCAAAGTCCAAGCCCTTTCCTTCCGTGTATGCATCTTCAAGGCAAATAAAATAGCCTCAATGAAGAGTCCAATATGTTGTCTGCTGAGCTGGTGAGTTATTTGTGAATTTTTCCCATTTATCTTTCCTATCAATAGACTTTTGGGATAAGCTAGTTACTGCATCTTTAACATCCTCTAATTTGTTTTTTGGGGTTTTTTTTGTATAGTCTTTGCTTTTTCTCAAACTGGGAAGCTGCTTCCCTTCACTGAGAATGAATTCAAATTAGTATATACACATAACAGAATTTTATTTTTAACTCAGAGAGCCTCCCCGTAAGAGCCTAGGAGTTGTCTGCAGTGTGTAGAATAAGCCCCAGCCTCTCATTAAACATCTTCCATCCAAAAAGACAGACTTGGAAAGCATAACACATTCACAGACCTATCCATTTGGAATAATTCTGCACAGCATATTTTTCATTGCATGAGAGAGATGTGGGATGAAGAATTAGGGAGTGGAACAGACAACCTTGATCTGCCAGAGGATCTTGACAAGGTCTCAGGAGGGAAATTTTTTATTTTTGTTGTCCTGTCATAGTTTCCTGATTTGTGACATAATAACGACTGGTATTTAGCACTTACTTCCTGTCTAGAAGGGCACTGAGTCTATTTCTAGATGTCTGTATTTAACTGGAAAGATCCTGTCATAATAGTATATAAAACTGAAGATAATAATGCCTGTCAAAATGGATGGAAGTCCTGAATTCTTTGGGCATGTGGAGCATAGGGATTGATTACAGAAATATCCTCAGAGAAACATCCACGTGGTAGATGGGCAGCAAACATGAATTAAGTGAAATTATGTTGGATAGATAAATAAATAAAAGCAAAGTGAAAGTGTAATTGCCATCAACCATTGGTGGCTAAAAGAATTAATTAGAAATGACAAGCCAAAGAGCTGTTTTTAACTTTCAAATTCTTGATCAATAAAAAAAGACATTTACCGAATGAGATGAAAGGCAAAAAGAAAGACAAGATTTCTAGTCAGTCAACTGATTGCAGTAGTAATGGCTTTGAGCATTTGCAAAAGAGTTGACTGGAGTTAGTTCTTATATAGCATTTTAAGCAGTATACCATCTCTTTCTCATGTAAAGAAATTGTGTGTTTCTAGAACAAACTCAGCAGTAACTTGAAGCTTTAAAATAGGGGATTGAGGATAATGTCTAGAAAGGAAATACTGAAAGCAGTAAATCAGTAACTAAAGACAGTGAAGGATTCTCAGCTTGGTGGACTATGTAATATTCTTCATGAAGAATTTTCAGGGAAAAATATGTATATATACACACACATAATCGTCTGTATAACATAGCTTCAGTTGTCCTGTCTCAAATGTGGGTGACTATAATGTATGGAAAGTGCTTACTCAGTACCTGGCATATAACTGACATTCAAAAATATTAGTTTACTTTTTAATATATATTTTCTACTTAAGTCTATGTCTGCATGTTATCTGTTATAGGCAGGTTGAAGTTATATATATGGACAATTAATAGATGAAACAGAAAATTAAAGGTACAAGTGAAAAGGTAACAGTGGAAACACAGTGAAAATGTTTTTTATTGGCCCAACCAAAAAGTCTTATAATAACTAAAGATTGATCTATGATTGCCATGTTTTCTTCCATTCAGGGCTTCACTTGCTAGCGAGGAGATGAAGTTGAAAGATCTTAAAACGGTGCCCATCTCCTACACAATTCAAAGTGCTCTCCACATGGCTAGTCTTTAGATCTCAGTTAGAATTTCAGATCAAAGTTTGATTCAGATAGACTCCTACCCGCAAAAGAGGAGATGAATGCCCCTCCTCCCTCCCTTCAGCCCCTCTATTCCCCCTCCCCCACCATGGATAATGTTCCCCATACTGTGGAATAGTCACTGTAGTGATAACCGAAAGTGAACAGCAAATGCCCATTTATCTAGAATGTTCAGCAGAGTATAAAGTGTTGAGAGTAAGGTACCCCTTTTAGTGAAGTGAATTGACTGTGGGAGAGGTGCTTTTCTTCCTGCATGCGAACAGGCTTCTTCCACTCCTCTGCCTGCCTAAGAAGTGTCCCTCCCCTCACTTCCCTGGTGCTTCCCTCTGAACTGAAGGAAGGTGGTCCTCCCTATGAGGAGGGTCCGAATCCAAACTTGTTCATGAAGGCTCCATGTCTGGGGAGGCCATAATGATGTTTAGTTGCTGTTCCACTCAGGCACTTTGCATCCTTGCTGAGGTTTTTTTTTTTTTTTTTTTAAAGGAAACTTTGATCACAGATGGTTGCTAAATTAAGGCATCACAAATAATGACTTCATGAATACATTTAATCATGGTCCATCCATAGATTACCAATAGTCAAAGAATTAGAACATAATAAAATACATAATAAATGACTATGAACTTACACTAAAAATATTGTCTTTATTTGGTTATTCAAAAGACTTACCAAATCTTTCATTCCTTTGGAGTTGCCACTAATAGCATTACACATGTGTACATGCACGTGCAGACATGCACACTTATACTTATTTGGGTAATAGAAGCTAAAGTTACTCAGTTACACAGCCCAGTATGGTAGCCAGCAGCCACGTGTGCTCATTGAGCACTTGAAATGTGGCTAGTTTGTAGTGAGAGGTACTGTAATGCAAATTACATCCTGGATTTCAAAGACTTAGTACTAAAAAATATATATATATATATAAAATCTCTTTGGAGATACTGATCGCATGTTCAAATCAGTATTTTAAAATTCATATTGATTTCATATTGTAATGAGAATATTTTGGGTGTATTAGGTTAAAGAAAATATATTACTAATATATTATTAGATTAATTTTACTTATTTTTACTTTTTAATGTGACTACTATAAAATATTTCATACATAGCTTGTATTCTGTTTCTATTGGACGTGACTGCTCTAGAGAAAGATAACTTCCCTGGGTAAAATAACTTCTGTAGCAGGGGCTTTCCTAGTGTCTATGCACGAAATGAATAGGATTTTCACTTTTCTTTCCTAGAGCAGTGCTGTGGAGTTACTAGAACCTGAAGCTCCCTGCTTGTACCTCTTTTTCTTACTGGAAGGAACGATGGTTTATCACAAGTTAGTCATCATTATTCCCCTTCAGATTTCTTTCTGGAAATTATATTACCTCAGCCAGCCTCCTGGTTCATAACCTATTTGGAAGAGGTTGAGATAATTAGCATTGTATCATTAAACTATTGATTACCTCACTCTCACTTCTGCCTCGTTTGTAGGAATTATTAGCTTAACATTAAAAGGCAAACCTCTCATTGTTGAAACTCAGATATGTTCTTGATAATTTTCCTTTTCTTTTTCACTTGTGATACTCAATTTTAGCTCATGAAGCTGATGTGGATACAGACTGGTCATTTTGAAAAATCATCCATGAGCATAGGTTGTTATGCTAATTATGCACAAAATTAAGACAGATTAATACACTAACATATTAAAAGAATTGAGTCTCCTGATTTCTAGCAATTACCCAAACTCCATCTCTAAAAGAATAGTTTCCACCTAATTTGGGAAATGAGGTTTTCTAAAATGCATTTTCTTTTTTGCCTAAAGTGTACTTACCACTGAGTGATATTTCTAATGACTGTAAAAGATCTCCCTTTGGCAGCAGTTCTTGGACCAGGTACGGTAATCCATGGTACATTTGGGTCATTTATTCATTCGGTCATTTATCAAGGGATGTCAAAGTTCCAGAACCTGGATGTAGAAAAGCACCATGGCCCTTGCCCCTAGGGGATTACAGTCTATAGGTCAGGTTATTATAGGAAACTGTGGTGAGAAGATCTAGTTAGACTAAGGTGATGTCTTCCTAAGGAATTGATGTTCTAGTGGAAAGCTGAAAAAAATCATGTCTTAGAGAGGAGGTTATGGGAAAGAGGAGCCAGAGCGAGCAGTGTGCACGAAGACCCTGAGGTCTATGAAAGGGTGGCATCTTTGGATGGAAAGAAAAATGCATTCAGTTGAACTGTGGCGTGTCAATGGCTGGCAG